TGATGAAACAAAAAAGAAATTTTAGAATTAACTTCTGGGAGAAGGGGAAAGGCCAAATAAATCCCTGCTTCTTACTTTTCTTTTGTTTTTAAAAAGAAAAAAATGAAATGTTTCTTTAGGACATTGATTTGTTCAACATTTAAATAAATATAAGTAAAATACATAAAAGTCAAATGAAGTTATATCTATTATACTTTTCATTTTTTTTTTTCCCCGTCAAGGATATTTTCATAAATTTTCAAATAAATGAAAAATAGTTTGGTCCAATTTATTTTTTTTTGCCTTTCAAATATGCCATTTTTTTTTTCCATTTCCCTTTTTTGTTTTTTTTTTCAAAACCAAATTTCCCCAGATGCACCAATAACAAAGTTACATCCATACCCCAAACAAATTTGTTTCAGTTCTTGCTTCTCCATTGGATAAAAGGAAGGGATCATGTGGGAACAAGTCAGGTTCTTGTACTATCAGATAGCATCCAACAATAAGGGAGAGGAACAACATGCAACTTTTGATGGTAACATCAATGGAAGAGAGGACCTGCCTCCAAGTCCATAATCAGCATTCTGTCCTTTTGGAGGTCAGAGAAAATAAAGAGGCAGCCATAGCTACCAACTCAAACTGTCTGCCTCAAGACCAGCTCAAGAAAAGGGGGGAGGAAAGAGAGGAAGTGGAAAGGTTTGTGTGGTCATGATCCATTCTAACAAACCAATCTCCAATTATTCCAGTCGTCAGTGAAACTCATTAGTACCACCAACAATAAAATAATGTCTTTTTTTTTCTAAGTTATCCCTTTCTTTTTTTTCTTTTTTTTTTTTTGAAAAGAATTTTTCTTTGTTTATATTTTTTGCCTCCAAGTTTTCATTTTGTGTTCAATCTCCTCCAGCATCTAACATTTTCTCATATTCACAAAGTGCCTGATGAATGAATTCATACTGCTCATGTGTTTGTATCATTCCACCTCTGAAAAAAAAAATTGAGAAATGCTTATCAGTACATAAAATATAAATAAAAATTAAATGCTAAATAAATCAATCAATTTTAAGATATTTTTCAAAAAATTAATTTTCATCAACAATCTCTGATGCCATTAGTTCTTGAATGGTAAATCTGATAAGTTTGAGCTAGTCAAAAATTAGCAGCTGATTTAAGTGATCTTAAATCTGTTATTAATTAGGACAAGAAATGGCTTATTAATTTTAAGCCTACAAAACAAAACTGCTCTCTTTTAATCTTATTAGAGAACCTTTTCTGCCTTCTGTCAGCATGGCTGATGCTAATCTTCAGGAGTGTGATTCATTGTGCCTTCTCAGGCTAATGTTTCTCACTGACATGAAGTGGAAAGATTATATTGAATCAATTGCTTGGTTTCCTGCTAGGAAAGTTGGTTGACTATGTCAAGCTAAGAAATGTTTCTTACCAGAATCTATTTTATGCATTTAGAAGTCTACGATTTGCTAATGTGTTGAATATTGCTGCCATATCTGGTCTGTTTCTGCTGTATTTAGAAATGCTTGATGAAATCCAAAGAATCTGCAATGTTAGCAGCCCTGACCTGGCATTACAGCTTCAGTCACTTTCCCCACTGCTGTCACGTAGCTTCCCTGTGCTTTTTCGATAAATATTTTCATGGTAATTTTTCTGATGAGCTTTCCTCTTTGGTACCTTGACTTAATGATTTTAAGTGCAGGACTAGATTGGCAGAAAAGATCGAGCCAAAAATGAAGTACTTCTGATATAACTGTGCTTGAGCTATGCAGTCTTAACTTTCCAGTCTTGATAGTCCAAAAGTGTCTGTGTGACCTTCTAGGTGATGAATTGTTTTCCACCTTGCAACCACTTTCCCACAGACAAAAATTTGTTGCTCTATTACAATTTCCATGGAAAATATTTTGGCAAGTTGCATTCTTTAGATCCACCAACTGTAACCCTCATGGCTAAGACCTGCAATGTCATTTACATGGAGGCAAACCTATATTCATCCCTCCATATTTCTTTCATAAGGCATAAGTTCTACTCTGATAAAATCTTCTCAAGAATCATTGTTTTGTGGAACAGAATCCCAAGAGGATGCTTTCCCAATCATTACAATTTTAACCTCTTATTGATTTGGAGATTCTTTCAGAAGTTGGATTTTGGTGAAACTTTCTGTATTTACTCACAAATGAATGAAATTATTTTCTCCGTATTCCTAATATCTGTGCTTGAACTCTGAAATTTTATTTACTAATTATTTATTTCATTTTACTTTTTTTTTCTCTCCTCCACCACTTACCCCCCCATTTAATTGTGCACAGTATTTTGTTTCCTTGATTGAACTCCAACGAGAAAGGAATAAAAACTTATTTATTTTGAGTTGCCATTTCTGGTAGCCATATTTCCTTTTTGTTGAATTTCTTCTTTTTAAATGTCTGTTTTTATAGGATTGACTAAATTTTCTTCCTCCAATAATATCTTCAAAATGGGATTTATAAAATATTTGTCTTTAAACTTGTTGCTATTTTGTTTTATTCTTAGACTTTAATGCTGTTGGTCTTTTTTTTAAAAATTCTTCTAGAATTATCTTTGAAACAATTTCAGTTTTGGTATTATCAACAAAGATGTTAAAGTGCATAAAAATTCAATTGACATGTAAACATACTATATTGTGAAATAAAAAGAGAAACCAAAGTATATCTAGTAAAAATCTCTGTAGTTATTACTTACCTGTCCATTCTCATGCTACATACAATGCCTAACACATCGACTGAGTGTTCTTCCCGCAATTGTCGGATTCCAATACTGATAGCAATAAAACAGCCAGTTCGTCCAATACCAGCACTACAAGAAAAAAAAAATTTAGATCAAATGAAAACAAATGAAATAAGAAATTAAAATTCTAATTTTTACCTAACTTTAGCTTTTGTATTTGTCCCTAGTTCATTGCAAGATGAAAATGGGTGATTGACGTGTGATAAAGTGTCAATTTTGAAACCAGAAGATTTCGATAAGTTCAAATACAAATTGAAATGAAATGATCAGTTAAAATCACGGCTATGCTTAAGAGAAATGAAACCAATTTGAATTGGTATAAATTTCTGAAGTTGCTTTCAGAAAATTATTTTTTTGTATTAAAAGAAAAATGGCACCATTTGATATTTATTTATTTATTTTTTTTTTACTAACATTGGTATGGAACATTCTTACTAAAAGCCTGAACTTTAACAAATAAAACTTCTTACCTGCAATGCACAGTGATAGGTCCTTTGGGAGTAACCCCGTCATCTTTGTAACGCCTCAATTCTACTTCCCTTACTAAGTCTAAGATCATCTTTGGTGAATCTGGGGGTTTATGGTCAGGCCAGGCTGTATACCAATAGTGGACAACTTTATGGGCCTCTCCCTTACACTGGAAAAAAATAGGAAATCATTAAGAAAAAAAAAAGTTATCTGTTATGTTAAGCATCTGCTTAATTTTGTCTGTAGATTATTTCAGCTTTTTAGCCTAGAATGTTTATCTGACAATGTTGTTTATTCCAATTAGCTATGTTGATATTGGCTGTAAACTCAATCCTTGCTAAAATTAATAAGGAACAAGCCATATTCTGAAAAATTTCAATCTAAAACCCATATTTCATATCATAATTCTGCATGTTCCTTAGCAAGTATGTTGTGTTCTGCCAATACCTTATAAATAATGGACTATTTAATATAAATCAGAAAAAAAGACAGATACTGTTTGGTTCCAGTGAAGGAAAGGTAGGTAGGTAAGATAAAAGTTCTGATATTGCTCTTAGTGTGTTTAACAACTGCTTCAATGAAATGGAAGAACGTGTCAATTTTACATCTTTTCATTTGTACCCTCTTACTTCTTTAAGCTGTATTCACGCTCATAATTATCATGCAATATTTGGTTAAAGTTATTAAGCTCAAATATTTAACAATAGGGGAATTTTCATGGGTGTTTTGAAGTTATGGAACTTGCAGTAAGTCTCTTCATTAAATATTATGATACATCAAAAAAATTCAAATAGGGAAGCTGTGAAATTTTCACAGGTCAGGTACTATTTGTTATTATTAATAAATAAATTAAAATAGTTCACTTATCGCTCTCTCTCTCCCCCCCCCCAGTGTTTCATTGAAGTTTTGTCCAATTATCAGCAAATTTATTTTCAAATCATATTTTCTTGTCTCATTTTTTTTTCATATATATAAAGAAAATTGTTGATACCTCCTGACATGTGAAGCAAGCATTTACAAAAGTTTCATCTAAGAAACTCTGGAGTTGAAGTGATGAATATAACATCAATCAGCTAAGTGACAAATTTTATATTTGTATTAATTATATATATATGATTGTCACTTCTTTGCAGAAGAAGGCCATCTCTTGGTAACTTTTTCTGTTTTTAATTTAGAATTTTATTATTTACATCATTTATAACCAAGCTAATTGTCTGTTATGTGGCCGTAAGTGATTCTTAAGAGCAGCTTCACTTTTACAACCTCTCTTAGGCACGTGGCAAACAAAGTTTGTCTATGTTAGCTATATTGGAAACTTGCCAGTCCCTGTGTACAATCATGTGACTTTTGAATCCTGTAGCAGACTTACAAACCGTATCACAAAACTCACATAAGTAACCGGTAGGCCTTCCTGGTCAGATTGCATTCACAGGAGTTTGCAGCTGACCTCTCTGGTGTGATCTCATATGACTGGCTAAACCCACTGCCAAAAGGGTGACTTTTCCACAAATAAGGAAAGTGTGTTGGTGTCCTAATAACTCTGGAATGGATTCTATTTCTCCCTTCCTGATGGTGCACCTTTTGCTGGAATGCTCAAAATTGTTGCAGCCTTCCCAGATCGACCTTCTCCAGCCAGATATATCTCCATCAACAGTTTCCCAGTCTTCAACATTAATGCCAAGAATACACACACACACAATTAATATACATTTTGTTCCTTACTGTTTGGTGCAACTCTGAGTTATGTATGTATGTATGTAGTGTCAATTGTCAGGTGCAGAGTCAAACATTTTATACATTGAACACTGTTTTATTACCACCAGAATTTACTGTGTTCTTAATATATAACTTGTATTTCCTTGGTTCTCCATGACTGGTTTGTATTTCTTGTCTCCATTTTTATTTAAACAAAGGAATTTTGCAACATCATAGCCAGGCAATAAAATGATTTTACTTACTCTCAGTGTCAAGAAATGCATTAGGTATCCTGGTCGTTGGGCCACTTTGTCTACTGTCACTTCAATATCCCCATAACCGCCAATCTTTTCAGGAAGATAGTTTTCACACTTACTCTGTGTTGCAGATAAAAAAAATATTTATTATAATTTCATATTTACTAATGTTTGTCACATTTTTTCAAAAGATTAATTTAAGTTTGATTTAAGATTGTTAATATTTGAAAGTCAAAGTTCTCAACAACACAGCATTTATTTTTTCATTTAAATGAATTAAGAAGAATAATGAAATTGAATTCAATCAATTATTAAAGGTAATATTAGTTTTTACTGTTGTAAATAAAAACAGCAGTAAGGCAATAAATTTTTTTTCAGACTGAATCCTAATAATTAATTTAGAAAATGTAATAAGAGAATAATTAGACAGGAACTTTTCTTTACTTATATTTTATACATGTTATCAATGTTTTTCTTTTCATATTCTTTTTATTGATGTGTTATTTTATTTTTTCATTGTTTTCCTTTCTGTAATTACATTTATTTCACCATCTTGTATTTCATTTGTTCTTCTTTTTTTACCTTTTTCCTCTCAAAATTAACCTATTCTCAAGTTCCTCTAAAACGAAAAGTAAGTTATTCAAAATAAGTAATTATTAATTCATTTCTTACTCTATTTGCTGTCGTATTGGAATCTGCAAGAAATAATGCTTCCAAACCTTATTGTGGCAATTAGCATTATTGTTTCACTTGTCCAATAATGCTTGTATGACACAAATTATCTGACTTGAATTAGTAAAACTTTCAAACAAAAATCTATTATAATGAAGGCAACAGGTCAACATAATAAGCCTTAAACATTTCAGTTCATTTCCTTTGTCAACAATCCTAACTCAAGTATACCCTCTATCTTATATTATTTATCAGACACCTGTATCATTGCAGGAGAAATGGTCTACCTGGAAAGGTCATCAGTTTTCAGCCACTGATTGTCTGCCATGTTTGCTTGAAAGTCATTAATAAATGTGTGATGAAGTCTTGTAGTAAAATCCTTTCTTTTGGTTTTGAAGTGGCTCATCAGAATCTTAGAGATTTTTCCTGTTTTCTAACTTATTTCAACAAAAATAAAGAAAATCAATATTTTTTTTTTTAGTCTGGTCTCTCATGATTTCTCTCTGAAATTCAGATGCTAAAAAGACTTGGTCTGAAGATTTAATATGTTACTGCAGATGATTTGATGTTTTTTTTCTTCATTCTCTGGTAAAATGGATAAAAGAATAAACTATTTATTTTTATACCAAATAATAAAAATGAAAAAAAAAGACATCTGCATACTTTCTAAATTAATCTATATTCTTGGATTGTGAAAGAGGGGGATTACAAATATAAGAGGGGTGCTGAAAAGTTCTCAACCTGACCCACTTTTAAAAATCTAATCAAAAATCAGTTTCTTTTTTAAGAGCTTTTTGGTTGGGTTGCGTACTTTAAATAATTCTCTTGGACAATTTTGACCATTTCCTAAAGAAAATGGCAAGATTTTCATTTTTTTTTCCTTCTTTTTGTGCCATTTCCAGAATTAGCATTTGACTAGTTATATTTGTGTTTTTTTTCTTCAAAATCAGCACTGTGATGATTTCTCTTGCATAGGTAATTAAAATAATAAGTGTCAAGAATGCTGGGATTTCTATTTTACAAGAATTTGAAGATATTAAAATCCTCTTCAAATTTTTATTTGTAAAAATCAAAAAATTAGGCATTCAATTATTTATACGAAAATAATAAATGTAAAAAAATAAATAAATTTCAGAAATGGTAACATTCTCTCTTAGTTCAGAGGAATTTTATATTTATTTTAATTACTTGCCTGGTTTTTCTCTTTCAGTTTTGTTATCATGACAATAATTGGAGATTTCTCGTGCCATACCATTCTCCAAAAGTCCACAATGGTATGTGCCATTGGACCTTGGGTGGCAATATAAGCACATGCTTCAACTTCATAGCCCTGAAAAACAAACCAAAACAATTGAATGCTAAATCTAAAAACAAATTTGGGGAATTTCAGTTCACTAATTAAGGCTTTGAAGAAAAAATCATTAACAAAATTGATTAACAAGTAGAGAAAAAAAAATGAAAGAAAGAAAAAAAATTACTTGCATTAATAATGTTCAATTGTATGTATTTTGATCCATTTTTGAATTGGTGAAAACTATATATTTTTATCATAATGTATAATGGCTGGCTGTGGATGAGAAGCTAAAACATTTGTAAAAATATCTCAAGGTTAAAATAATTGTTTTCTGGCAATAACAGAGGTCAGTGTTCAAGCCAAAATAAATGCTGAATTCCTAGCAAGCTTTTTTCATTTAGAAGAGATGCCTAATGCAGTTTTCCTTTCCCAATTTTGCTAAATTCTTTTTCTTTCTATGTGCTGTGTTCTTTCGCCTCCCTTGGTCCCTTGCAGCTCTCAACAAGTTCCTTCCTTCTGCCACCTCCCTGTCATCCACTTGGTGAAGGCAGCTAGGTATGTCGTCCTTATATGTCCCAGGAACTTCCTGATGTTAAGTATAAGCCTCCTCCTTGTTTGCATCCTCTCTAAGACCTCATTGTTGCTCACATGCTCAGTCTATATCCTTAGCATCCTTCTGTAGAACTACATCTCCATCACCTTGAGTCTCTTCTTCATCTTTGAGGGAATTGTCCAACATTCACTGCCATAAAGAAGCACAGATGTCACATAACAGCTCAGTATTCTTTTCTTCATTACCAAAGAAATCCTCCTGCCTCGCAATACTCTACCCAGCTTTTAGAATGTGTCCTTGGCCATCCCAATATGTCTACAGATCTCAGTGTCGCATTTACTGTCCTCTGTCAAGATGCTTCCCAGATATTTAAACCCTGTGTAGTTTCTCTTCCATGTTTGCTATCAGTACTGTCTCATATGCGTATCTCATGTTGTTAAGATTGTGGCTGCCAATGTTAAAACTCAGTAGGGTTTCTAATTCTCTCAGAATTGCCTCGCTGTATAGGTCAGGTGAGAAGACACATCCTTGTCTTATTCCCCTTTCTATTTTTGTATATTTGCTCAACTCGTTCTCTATGCACATGCATGCTATTTGCATATAGGTTCTTGATTTTTCTGATATCTTTCCTGAATTTATCAAGTTTGCTGTGCAGTTCCAGTAGATCCTTGTGGCATACTTTGTTGAAGGCCTTTTGCATAGTCTATGAAACATAGATAAGTTTACTAAATACTGAGAAACTGAACAGAAACATTTGGTTTACAGCATGCAACTGCCTTGAAAATGATCAAATAATACATTCTGATATATAGATCAGTTTAAAATGGTACATTCAAAAATCAAATGAATTCATTTTGGTAAATAAAAAAAAAGGTGTCATTTTACAAAAGGTTGTGTCTGTTGAAGAGACTTTATTTCGCCCTGCCTATTCATCCAACCTTCTTCTTACCAATGTATTACCATTTTTAGAAACATTTCAGCCACTTCATTGTAGGCAAGATCAAATTGAAGAAATTTCTAATTAATTAATTTCTTTCTTTACAAAGAGAACTAATGACTTGCTGCCAAAGTAGCATTTTAATTATTTTCACTTTTTTTATTAAATTAAATTGATGATTTTATGTTGAACAAATTTGATACCTTAAGAGGCGGTTATGGAATACTCAGTTTAATCAGGACAAATTTTGAGAAGGTACCTTTTTAGAGGTAACTTGTATAATAATTCCTGGAACCATTGTAATATAAAAATTCCTTAAAATATAGACCAATCATATTTAAACAGAGATATTTTACAATACTAATTTAAATTGGTCAGCTCTGACAGAAGGCAATCAAAACTAATATACCAATCTTGCAAGATTCTGAAATAATTCAAAATTTAAATTTTTAATCATTACCCAAATTATGAATAACTGATTGAAAAACATATTTGGATTATGCTTATGAAAACAAATAAATTGTTAGTTTTCAAACCAAATCCATCGGTCTTGGGATCAGAGACAGTCAAACAGGTTTTATTGCATTTTTTAAAATTAATTTTAATAGATTAACACTATTTTTATCTTTCAAATAAAGATTTTAAATTTTCCTACTTATTTTCTTCATAATTTAATAGTCTTTAAATAAACACTTGCAAACACCTGTAACATTTCATTTGATGGTTTCTGTACAGTATATTAATCGTAATATTCTACTTCAATTAAATACTTAAGAGTTTGAACGATTTATTTAAAACATTTCCAGCTGTTTTTATTAAACATCATAAACTTTGAAGAAACTATTTGATTAAAAAGGAAGTTTACTGGTAAGGAGTTGGTTCTGAAAAGTTCTGACTAAACATTAGAATTCATTCTGGAATCTCTTCTTGGTTGGCCTGAGAACTTTTCAGCAAACTCTCAGAGAAATCTTTGACATTTTCTGATTAATTAGAAAAACAAAATACTGAAAGACAATTATTTAAATAAAGAAACAAATGACATATGTAAAGTAGGTTGAAAAAGAATCTTTGGAATTATTAGAAAGTCAAAATTTTGCGGGAATGTCAAATAAGAAACAAAAAACATTTAATGAATAAAAAAAAAACGGGGGTGGGTTTGAAAACAAGCTGGGTTAAATGATTCTGATGTGCTTCATAGTGCAATGATAACAAAAGCATTTTACTTTTTTCAATATTAGTGGATTCTCTATACACTGAATATTTCAAACAAAAGTTTAATTTTTTTTTTTTTTTTTAATCATTTCACACCAAGCAAGGTGATAATGCCACTCGGACACAATGGGTTACTGGGAGGGCAAAAAGAATGAGAAGACTTTAGTGAGGAAAAAGGACAATAAAAGAACAAGGTTCAATTTTTTTTGTGCCAACAGCCCCACATATTTGACTTGTTTTTAAAGGTTTTCCTTTCTTTTTGTTAATTTTCTATATTGTGTGTGGTGTTTTGTTTCATTGACATTTACAACACCGTATCTAAAAATTGAAAACATAAAATTATAAACATTTTAATAGGAAAACAAATCTTGTATTCCAATTGCATTCTAATAACAAGTGAGGCAAATGTTATTAAGAAGGAAAAGAAAAGTTACCCGTATATAGTTGGCATTAATATAAGAGGAAAGTGAATCTCCTTCATAATTGGGTAAAATTACTCGACTGTGTTCATCTGGAAAAAAAATGAGAAAGATAAAACTTGATTTCAATTATGATTGTAGTTTTTTGACATACTAATAGCTGCATGGTTTTTTTTAGTTAAGCATCACAGACTATTTCTGATTATCTAATATAGGAATGCATCATGAAGGCCAAAATGTGTGTGATTTGAGCTGGAATGCTAGTTACTTGTTTTGACAGAACAACATTAAATAAAGTTCTTTTGTTTTCTGTCATTTGCTTTTGTAAAGTTAAATTAAATTTATGCATGAAACCCCTCATTTATGCAAAACAAAAACAAATCTAAAGCTCTAATAATTAAATCATTTGAGACATTCACTGTTGAAGTACATTGGCTAAGACTTAGTTAAACAATTCTGCAGTGTAACGTATTTGCAGTTGTAAATTAATGTGATTGTTAACAAGATTATCTTTTTAGTTACTCTTGCATAAAAGAAGCAATTTTAATTAAAGAAATATCACTTGACACCTCTAAGTCTTCTTGACAAAGCTAGTGACAACTTTATTGTTGACTAAAAAAAGAATATGCCAACTTTTGACCAAAGTTGCCAAGTGGGATTGAGGGAGATACAGTACAAATTTTAAGTGCAGCTTTTAGTCGTTGCTGGGTTTCCACTGGGCAAAGTATAGCATCTTATCAAGTTTCAATTAACTTACTAAATTTTTTTTTTTTTTTAAATCTATGATTTTGAGATTAGCAGAAGAGGTAGGCAACAATGTGGATCAATACTAATCAATATTAGAATATGTAATTGGTATGTAATGATGAGTTTTAAAACCAGTAATGATTCTAGCTGAAGTAGATGAAAAAATATTAAGTTTAAGAAATAATTATATCACTTCAGTATTTATAGTTATTACAAAGAATATTGAAGATTGTGTAGCAACAACCTTAATGGAGCTTGACTGTCTAGCTAGAGAATAATTTTTAAATCCTGGCCTTTAACTCCATTTTATCACCAGACCTTGTTCCATTTTGATCCCATTTACACAGATTTAGATATATTTTGTTATAATTGGATAAGCAGGAATATAACACAGTAAAGGGAGAGATTGAAATAGAATTGGTTAAACAAAGTAGATAAAACCAGACTAAAGCTAAATGGATCAAAGCAGAAAAGGATAAAGTATGAAAACTGTTCAATCAAAAATTGCCCAATTTTATCTTCTGAATCTCAATTTTTGATTGGACATAAAAAATTCAAGATGCATGAAAACAGTTGGAAAGATGGTGAGCAAGATAGACAATATCTTCAACTTGATATTAAATTTAAAAACATCGAGTCATGCAAGATTCATAAATAATGTAAAATATTAAAAAAATGTATGAAGGAAGTGAGATAGAAATTATGTAAGCAAAGATTGAAAACATCTGTAATTTATTATTTACAAGTTTTTTAAAAAAAATATTAACATCAAAATGAATTGCATATTGAACTGTGCTAGGGTTTATTTCATAAACTCAGATTTTGTCAAATGCACATATTTGTAAATTGTCAGAGTATAACAACATATATACAACTTATATTAAATATGTATTGCTTGGGGAAAGATTTGAATTGACTTAAATCACAGAGGCAGTGTTTTTTTGTGAATTTAAAAAAGAAAATGTCAGTAGGAATATCCAATATGAAAGAAATTACTATAGATATTATTCAAATAAATTTTTTTTTTCTGTAAGCCAAATATTAACTAAAGTATTTTGATTCCTACTTAATTTAAAGACATTTCTATAGAAAATTGAATTTAGTCTGCATACAAAATTTAACATTTTCATCAGTATTTTCTGCCTGATGAGATACTTGATTATTTCAAAACTTTATTTTCTGATTCAAAGTTATTCTTTGATTTTTATCATTAATGGTGAGAAAACCTGTAAAATTTGATTGGCAAAACTTGTTTTCCTGAAACAAAGAAAAGAGTAGATAAATAAAATCATCAATGCCAATCTTGGAACTTGATGTTTTACTTTGAAGCAATTGATTGTGAATTGTTAAACAAAGATTGCCATGATGGAACAGTGAACTCTGATGGTCAGACTAAACTAACATGCTGTCAAACATGCAAAGAATCTGATATTCCTGAATGGAATCGTAATGTTAGATACTATTTAAAAAATGAACTTCAAGACTTACTTGGTATCATTGTTTTATATCTATTCTTTGTACCAGATCCAGCTACGTACACTTTTTCTGGATGATTTGTAGGGATTTCCTGGAAATAAAAATAAGAGAAACATTCAAAATCAAAAGGTTTTCTAAATATTTAATTCATTTCTTAAAATTATAGTTTAAATATTTTTTATTTGTTTATTAAAGTTTGCCTTACAGTATTGCTTCCATTGCAAAGAACACTGCCCAATTCCCTTGAATGTTTTTATTTACACTTTTTTTTCTTCTTTTTCCCAGCATGCAAATATCATTTGGCAAGGGCTGTTATCAAAACTGAACTTTATGTCTGCCCACCTTAATCTCATCTCTCTCAAGAAAATATTTTACTTTGATATTCCTGGCCTGGGGTATAGTAAAAATAAACATGCTTCAAAAAATAATCCACTTGGAATCGTTTCCCATTTCTCAAGGAGAAAAATATCCTGCATGTCTTTCACAGATGCAGAAAATCAGAAATGCACCAAACATCAAGAAAGAAGCAAAGCAGAAAAATCTGCAATTTGGCCAGAGTTTGTGGTGGGGATAGGTAAATCACTTGACAGGTTTAAACACAGTGGATTTCTGGTCAAGAAATCTTAGAATAAATAACTGATATCTATATCTATCTATCTGTGTGTGTGTGTGTGTGTGTGTGTGTATATATATATATATATATATGCCATATCTCTTCAGGACAATCATGACTCTCCATAGATTTCTTTTTTTATTATCTGTGAATTGCCATGATGTCTTGGAAAGGATAGTTGAACGGTTTCCTGTTGAAATGCTTTCTCCACAGTTTTGAATTCAGAGTTATCTTTCACCTAACTTTCGCTGCCACTCAAGGCTAGAGAGATCAGTATACTATTAAACCATAACAGTGGGTTGGGGAGAAGAGATGGATTCATTTTTTCTAAGAGCATTAGTGCCAAAGCCAAAGCAGCAGACTAGGGTGGAATTTGAACTCTGTCCTCTGATTTCACTTCCTTGCCTTTTAATCATTACATTTCCTGCATCCATAAATTAGAAATGTAGAAATTTTCCATAATTGTAATTTGTCCTACTGTCTGTCTGAACCTGGTTAGTTATATATGTGTATTTAATATGTTAATAAACTGTATGCACATGAGAAGAATACATTAGTGTATTGCTGATTAAAATTTTCTTTGTTATCTGGAGAGTAGAAGAGAATACCAAGATGTGTTGCTGTTAAATTTATTTATTTATTTTTTTTTTATTGATTGATTGATTTCCTCCTAAGCAAGGTAGTGAAGCCACTACAAAACAAAGACTTTCTGAGTGTGGAAGAATTACAAAAATAGTTGGTTGGAAAGCATATAGCTAGAAGAGAGTTCTACAAAGTGTGAAAAAAGAAACTGTTAGCATAGAACTTATGGCTACATCTAACTAACTCAACTGTATGTTGGTGAGACCTCATCACCAGACTAGTACTGCGCTTAAATTCATAAAGTCTAGGCACCCTGGTGAAGAGCTCATTTGAACAATTGCCATGGAAGTATTTATTGAAAAGGTACAGGCAGGCAACTTTATGGTGGTGGGAAAGTGAGTAAAGTGGAGATGCTAGATCAGGACCAATAATATTGCTGATTTTTCTTTGGATTTTATTAAAGATCACTGAATATATGGCAAGAGCACCAGACAATATGAACAGGGTGAATGGATAAATTATCATCTAAATTACTCAAAAATCAAAATAACACTGATATCTCTTTTTAACAGATATATTTATCAAAATTACACAAAAATATCTTGAAATACTAAAGAGCAAATTTATGCAATAAACTTGCTATTGGCTTCAATCCCGGCCTTCAGAAGGAATCTCCTGTAACTTTTCTGGACAGTCTTCTTGTTTAAGTTGGTGAATGCTGCCATAATCCTTGCCTTCAGTTTGTCTTTGGTGTTACAAGGAGTTTTGTTGGTCTCTTGCTCAACTGTACCACACACATAATAATCAAGTGGGTTGCAGTCTGGGGAGTTAAGTGGCCAGATGTAAGGGGTGATGTGGTTACAGAAATTGTCTGACTGCCATGACTGGATTCTCCTGTTTGTGTGGCCTGGTGCAGAGTCCTGCTGCTAGACACAGAGTCTTCCAGCAGCCATCCTCTTGATCCAGGGCAGCACTACCTCCTCAAGGTACTTGATGTAGGCCTCCCATGTTGAGTCTGGGGCCCTATGGGAAGATGAATGGTGGCATAATGTTGCCATCACCAGTGATCATTCCAAACACCTTTGTAATCACAATTAGACTCATCAAACTCTTTCTGAATCCTCTGCACTATCCTCAGATTGACACCCAAACACTTTGAAATGTTCATATTGGAGCTTCTGGCATGAATGCTAAGCAGTATAGCATGCAGTGAATTGCATCATGGTGCACTTTTTCTTACAATACCCAACTGAACATACTATACTGTGCAATTGACAAAAGCAAAAAACAAACAACAATGCATGTATGTTAAAAATATAAAATGGCGACAATTTACCCATTAGTACCCTAAATTATGTGTTTGCTGATATTGTCAAAAAAATCAAAAATTTTTATATGTATATTCAAAACTGAAATTAATGAGATATACTTTTATATTTAAATATATTATTAAAAGTTTCTAATTAAAATTGTTCCTTTAGATGAATAAATTTGGAATACAACCCTTTTTCAAAGACAAAGAAAATTGTGTGTATGTTTGTGTGTATAGTATTGCATTATTATTTAATGTTAAATTTCAGGATAAAAACATATTTGATTAATTTGACTCTGTTTATTTAAAAGTAAATTTTTTTTTGCCATCATATACCAGCATGAATTTGTCAAAGCTTAAATTATTTAAAAAAATTCTATTGGTGAATTAATTCCAACCTACAATTTTCCAGGAAAACTGTCCTTATGGATGTTTTTGTATTCTCAAAAAATTTGTTAAAAAACTAATATTCAAAATTTTAATACATCATGTTGATAAAAACCCAAAACTGATGAAAATTCACATGTTAATTCAATTTGTAAACTGTTCTTAGTGAAAAGTTAGAATGAATACTACATCAAACTACAAGAAGAGTAAGAGTTCACAAGTTAAAAATTTGGGCCGTGTAACAGGATGAACAATTGTCCTGCTTTAAAAATTTAATAATTTTTTTTTTTTATATCTATCCAAAAGTGTATTTGCAGAGAATGGAAAGTGTAAACAAAAATAAAAAATAAAAAAAAATAATAAAAAAATGACATAAAAAAAAAATATCAAGTTTGCAAAAAAAAAAAGAGTTTAACTTTGTTAAATGGAATTCTCAATTTTTAAAATATGGCAGTATGAATAATGGAAATTTCAAAAAGTACATATTTATTTGAGATTAAAACACTAATGGGATACTTTGCATTATAAGGTACAAATGGACCAAAAAAAAAATGAAATCAAAGTTCTTTTCTTGTTTTTTTTATTTTCCCAGCCAAAATGAGACAGTGAAGTTCTGGGCAAGGATTTTGTGTGAAAATGGCTTTTTATTTTGATTAGTTTATACACATTTCAATTCAAATAAGAGACACTGAAAAAAGCATTTATAAAAAAATCTTTGAAATTAAATTTTAGAATTTCAACTTCAAATTTGTTCAACAATATTTTTCAAAAATAAAAATATTTAAAAATAAAAAATCCTATAAAATTTTTGTTTTGAACCAACAAAAAAAAAAATGAAAGGACAAATTTTTAGAAGAATAATTTTGAGTTTTAAGAGAATTGTGTAAAAAAAATTTTTTTTTCAAAAGCAATTATTTCAAATATAAGTCATTTTGACTTTTTTTTTGATTTTTTTCTCATTTTAATTAGTTTATAATTACAAATTATATTTTTTTTTTTTTTGCTATTTTACAAAAAAAAAAATTTTTAGAAAATACCAACAATGACTGATTCTGAAAAAATGCCACTAAATATATTTTTAAATTTTCTTTACACCTTTTGTTCAATACAGATATATTTTAATTTTTTTAAAACTTTTTTCTGTTGTATTTTAAAAATATATTTCAAACAATTTGGATCAAACAATCATAAATGTTTTTTAAATTCAGATTGAAAATTAAATTGAACAATTTTTAAAAAAATCTCAAGAAACATCTTAAAAAATAAATTAGAAATAATCATTTAATCTTTTTTTTAAATTATTTATCATTTAAACCTTTATATCAAAAAAAACTTATATGATATTTTCAATTGTTTGAAAATGGATATATTTATTACATTTTGTATAAAATTTTCAAAATTCTAAAATAAATATGCAAATGACATTTAATGGCAGATTAAGAAGAAAAAAATAAAATATTTCCTTGAAAAGTAAAAAACAAATAAAAAAAAAATAAAAATTACTAATCTCATCAATTCTAAAAATTAAATCCTGGGTTTTAATTCAGTATAAGAACGGCCCAAGATTGGTTTCATTTTTTTGCATATGAAAAATCAAAAAAGTACAGAAATTTCACTATCTAGGAATATAGAATCCAATGAAATGTATAAAAAAAAATTAGTGAACTATTGATTATTTTTCCATTAATTTCTTTTTTTTCTTTGTTTATTGTCAAACATATATGAATTTCATTAAAAATTCAAATGCTTGTGATGAAATAAATTAATGAATTTCTTTATTGAAGAACAGTTGAAAATTTTTTTTTTAAAATCAACTTAAAAAAAGTTTGATGATTTCCAGACATTTTAAAATAAAATGCTTTCCGAACAGAACATATAAGTATAGAAAATTATAAAGAATATATTTAATTAAAAATTCACAATTGAATTTTCAGAAAGAATGAAAAAGTTTCCAAAAGCATTGTGCAATTTTTTCTAGGACACAATTTTTTTTTAAAATATTAATGTACATTTTTATTTTATTGTATATGTTTTATTTCATTTTTTTAATGAAATTTCAAAGTTTTCCAAAAGTTTTAATTGAGTAATTACATTTTTTTTACTTTTTGAATTGAGAATCAGTCTTCTG